TATTCTATTCTATTCTATTCTATTCTATTCTATTCTATTCTATTCTAGTCTGTATTATATATTGGCTTTGTTTTTTAAACAAAATCTGGGTCAGAGACTTGTAATAATTTGATTTGACATATCATGAAGACTAGAAAGAGATGTTTAAAACCCCAGAATTAGAGCCAAGCATACCTTGGTTATGGTTTTCCTCCTCACCAATCGAGCGGCTTCTCTTGGGGCCCAAAGGATGCTGGATAGGCTCCTCTCTGCAAGTAGCAAGAAGAAAAAGCTTGTTAGACAAACCAAGTGAAGGGGGTCGAGAATACAAATTGCTTGCTACATCCGCCAAGCCGTTTCTCTTACACTTTAGTCATTCTATCCTCAGAACATTCTGTAGGAAAATTCAGTTCTAACAAATCTCTGTTACTATATTTCCATTTCCCAAGTGCAGGCCAGCATTGAAACCAAACCTCACTCTAAAGGAAGAGATGGCCAAACTGATAACCAATTTATTATGGGCCATCAAGTTGTTTTCTAGTGCAGACAAGGTTCTTCTCCATGTTGACTGATTCCTAACCAGTTCTTTCAAGTCTCCCAATGGTTTACTCATTTCTACTGTAACTGATAGTAAACGTTACTATCATGGCCAATCTCTCTCATGCAAACTTTCACATCTGTTCTAGCTGAAAGACTTTAAAAAGACCAGTGTGGCTTCTTACCTAAAGGACAACTAAAAGATAATGTAAGAGTAATTTTGAGTATAATTGAACATTTATGCCAACGTAGTGACAAAAAGGTTGCATTGATTTTTCTAGGTGCAGAAAAAGCATTTGACAACTTGAACTGGGCCTTTATGTTTAAAGTAGTGGAAAAGGTCGACTTTGGATTGGGCTTTATAAAGGGTCTGAAGTCCATCTATACATTCCAGAAAGCTTGGATTATGGTAAATGGAGATTTGACAAGAATCCCGAAAGGAACAAGACAGTGGTGTCTTTTATCCCCTTTATTATTTATTCTGGTGTTGGAACTGTTAAACAGAGATATTAGACAAGACACCAAAGCAAAAGGACTACAAATTAAAGCACACCATTACAAACTTCACACATTTGCTGATGACTTAGTATTCATTGTGCAAGACCTGCTAGAGAACATTGAATATGTTATGAGGAAGATCAAAATGTTTGGAGAAATGGGTTTTTTAAAAAAATAAATTAATTACAGATGACAATACTGACCAAGAAGAAACTGGAAATTAAAACTGATTTTAAAGTTGAGAAAAAGGTACAGTATTTCGGGGTAGCTCTTACTGAGGAAAATTCTAAGCTTTACAAAAATAATTACGTTAAAATGTGGAAGGAGATAAAATTGGATTTAAACAGATGGCAAAAATTAGATTTGTCATTAATGGGAAGAATTTCAGTAATTAAAATGAATGTACTACCTAGAATGTTATTTCTATTCCAAACTATAGTGATGTTTTAAACAGTGGCAGAAAGATATATCTAAATTTATTTAAAAACCAAGGATTAAATAAAAGCTGCTAAAGGATTCTAAAGACAGAGGAGGTTTGGGTTTGCTGGATCTTAAGATTATATTACAATGCTTGTTGTCTGATATGGCTAAAAGATTGAATAACTTTTAAAAAATTCAAGGCTATTTATTAGACCTCAAAAGTTCTGATCTGAGATTTAGGTGGCATGCTTATCTGTGGTATGACAAAGTTAACCCTGGTTTTAAGATTCACGCTATTAAGCAATCAATGGTGGAAGTACAAAAGCTTAGCTGATAAATTGCCACTTTGGCTATTTCCTCATGAAGCTCTACATAGAACAGAAACAGTATTGGAATGTAAATGGATGATTTATCGGGACTTACTGATATTTGAAAAATAGGGATTCAAGATAAAGAGAACAATTCGAAAGAGAAGGTTTTGTTTGTGATTGGTTTAATTATTATAGAATTTTTTGAAAGATTTAAACTTTACAAAAAATTGTTTTCATAGGAACTAAATCTGAACTTGATATTAATTTATGTTCTGGAGATAATCACTTGCTTGCTAGAGTATATAAAATGTTACTCAAGTCAAGATGAATCTGAAAGATGAATATGTTAATGATTGTATGGTAAAATGGGCAATTTTGGGGGGTATAACATAATGCTAGATAAATGGGAGAATGTATGGACCAATGGACTAAAATTTATATTAAATTATAGCTTGAAAGAAAATGTCTATCAAATGATGTATCATTGGTATTTGATCCCTGATAGACTAGCAAAATGTATAAAGGGACTTGTAGGGAAATGTAGGTCATAGTTGTCTCAAAGGTGGTTTGTTTGTTTTTTCCTCAAAGGCAACTGGGCTGTTTTTTTCCTTGAGGAAGAAGAAAACATTTTGCTTCTCATCCAAGAAGTTTCATCAGTTTTGGCAGAAAAGCTCCGGTAGGAAAAAAATACTGACGTGTCCAAAAGCCAACACATATTCAAGAACATTCAATTATGGGTGGTTTCTTCTTGTCTATCCAGCAACTCTATCACACTGAAATATGTAAGGTTGTTCTAATTACACCCTTCCTGTCTCTTTCTTACTTCTGTAAGATATCTGCCCCCATCCGTTCTGAACTTCTCCCCCCCCCATCCCCCTGTTCTTAATCCAATACTCACGTTTCTGCTTTCAGCCCTCTTGGTTCTATTACTTCAGGATGATCTTCTGAATTATTTTCTGAAACCAACAAGAGGAAAGCACATCAACTGGGAAAGGCCAAGCCACCTCAGGAAAAGGCTGGAGCAATTTACTAGTAATACTGGACAGAGTAATTCATCTTGGATGTTCTCTGTCTGTTTGGGTAAGAAATGTCAAGTATTTCTTATGGCACGGAAACGTTCTGTTACAGCAAACTGTCAACTATTTACAATATTCTTTCTTATGGCTGCAGAGAAATCTCACTGCAAGAGTGGATGGAATGAGTATCACAGTTAGGAAATATGGTGACCCTCCTGCCCCTGTAGACTGCTTGCATCTCTAAATACTCGGTACTAGAGGGGTGAACACACAGAATTGTTTATCAGCTTGTTATTCACTATTCTTAATCTGCATTTTTTTTAATAAATAGGACAATGTACAATCCAGACTTTTTCACTTATGACAAAAAATCACTGGCTGCTTGTGCTCCCATCAGCCACGTTTGCCAGCCTTCTGTGATGCAGAATGAAAATTTATCAAGCTACCATACATATCTAGGGATATGTGAGGTCCAGAATATGCCACACACCCCCAAGGTGAGTATGGAACTAGAAATTTAGTCTGCATTATGAGCCTGTGGGTGGGATTTGGCAAAAGTTTTCCTGGGCAGGAAAATGGGATAGTATTAGAAGGCAGCAACCTATTTCCTACAGTCATGTGTCAGTCATGTGCGTTTTGAGAAACGAAAGTTAGCAAGCACCACTCCATACTAAAAGTGTTTTGAGAGAGCAGGGGGTTGTCAAGCCCTTGATTTTGCAACAAGAGTTGACCTTCAGTGTTAATGTGTAACTCCTTCTTGTCTACTTCTTTTTGAAGTTTTAGATATGTAAACACAAAAAACAAATAATTCAAACCAAGTATCCATAATTACAAAGGCAGGGGCAGACAAAGTGGCACTGCATAAAGCAGGGGTGGGCTTCAAAAATTTTAGCAACCAGTTCTCTGCCTGGTGGCTGGCTGGGCACGGCCATGTTGCGTGTGGCCTAGTCAGTCTCCTGCACCACAGGTGGAGGGGCGTTTTCACCCTCCCTGAGCTCCAGAGGCCCTCTGGAGGTTGGAAACAGGCCCCATTCCTAGCCTTCTGGAGCCTCTGGGATGCCTGATTTTTGACCTCCCTGAGCTCAGGCTGTGTGGGGCGGGGCGAGCCAGGGGTGGGACTTACCAGTTATTAAAAATGATAAAATTAGATACCGGTTCGCTTGAACCGGTAGCAACCCACCCGACATAAAGATACACGTTACAATTAATCCTTTATATCACTGTATTCCAGGAATGGGCAACTTAATCTTGTTGGCGGAGGTCTTCTAAGGAGGACTAGGATCTGATGGTGACATCAGCAAATGAGACCAGGCCAACATTCTTGTTCCTTTAGGCCAGGGGTCTCCAACCTTGGCAACTTTAAGCCTGGTGGACTTCAACTCCCAGAATTCCCCAGCCAGCT